CCCCAAAACCCCAAAACCCCAAAACCCCAAAACCCCAAAACCCCATTATTTGGATCTCATATTGATGAAAATTTTAAAAATTATATTTTCAAGGGTATAATTGGGGCTACCTCACTTTTTGGAACATATACCCTATAGACTTGGAGTTCTTCCTTCTATCACGAGGTGGCCTTCCTACCTTGGGGACGAAGTAAGGCTGCCCAGTTTCAGGGTCATAGTTCCTTCTGTAGCTCTCATTTTGTAGTTTTTGGAGATCCCTTTTTGAAGAATTCCCTTTATCATACCGAGAAGTGATGTTATTAGACCTAGTTCTTTGAATATCTGGTCGGAATGTTCACTCAGAATCTAGTCACTGAGAGTATACATTATTATGCCTGTCTACTCTCTTCATTGCATCTTCATATAGAAGATGACATTGGTCTGGGTTAAGGCTGTAGTTTTTAGCAATCTCATGATCACAGTTATCAATAAGAAATGTTGTCCTTTCCTCAATAATTTTCTTCGAATTTTCGTTAATATTAGGATGGTAAGAAAATTCCATTTGTTTTTGATATAATTCTTCCGCTCTTCTTTGATCCTTTTTATCTTTTGAAATCAATCCTTTCTTGATCAAATTATCCTCAGGTTTGCTCCCATCATCTTGGACAAAATAATAAGAATAAGGGTTAATTTTTGGATGAAAGGAGTGCTCAAGCTCTTCCTGTTCTTTCTGAGCTATTGCTTCTAAATGTCTTTGCTCAATGTCATCCATCCTTTGAAGTCCTTGGTGATATAACTTGGTACTATGATCAAATGTCTTAGAGGATAGGCCACATAGTGATTTCCCTTTTCTCTTCTTCTTCCTCTTCTTCTTAGCCTCAGTTTTTCCAAGCTCACTGACGTTAAATCTTTTCTCTGTTGAGAAAGAGCAATTATTCATGCTTCTCTTTTGAATTTTTTGTTTTGAAAGGGCTTGTTGATGCAATCTCTGATGCACACTTTGATTTGTAGTCTTCTTACTATTAGCAATGAACTTGCTTTTCTCATTTATCATAGGCTTCGCACGAAGATCCTCACTTTCCTGGTTCTTCCGAATATTGCTTTGAGGGTTACTTCAAGGTTTGGAGATAAACCCACTATTACTCAGTTGGTTTCTATGATGCTTTAATTTCATAGAATAGTTCTCTTCACCAAGATCATCTACCAAATACATCTTGTCCCTAGTATTGGCTTTTTGAGTGTTAGAATGGTAGTAATTATCAACTCTTGTCAAAACACTTGGACTCTTCTGTAGTGGTAGATATTTACTCTCTTCTTTAGTAATGTCTTTTCTGACCTGAGATATATTAGCAAATACCTGAGAGGTAAATGCTGCTTTAAGTTCTTCTTGGATATTGTGCTTTGTTCAAAAAGCTTCAGAAATTTTGAAGGGGTCTTCATTTTCATTATTTGCTAAATCTTCTGTCTCTCCATTACCAATCTCTACTGTGATTGTGAGAAGTTCCTTGCCTTTATTTGTGTCATAAGGTTGTATATTAAATTCAGCAAAGTTCTCTTCTACATTTTTCATTGAGTTGCTATCTTCCAAGACTCAGCTTAGATCTGAAGACAACATATAATTTTCTTTATGAGCCTGGCTTTGCATTTTCCGATGCTTCCCATGATTTGGAGGATGAAGGCTCAGGAGGTTAAGATCCTGATATAGGTTGTCATCGTTAGGAAAGTAATTATTCTCTCTAATATCTTGGCATTCATAAAACTTAGTTCCGTTGCTTGAGCTCCTCCTTCTCTCACGGCTATAGTCATACTTCTCATTGTAAAAATTTATATTGGGGAATATTTTTGGTCGGGGATTTCTTTCTTATTTTCTGAGAAAATACTGTAATCTCCAACTTCTTGCTCTAAAGAGATTATATACAACGTATTCGAAATAAGTAAGTTGTTCATGCAAAGACTTACTCTCCACTCTAATATGCTCATAATTGTCGGGTCTTTTGTTAGGAATATAGGAATCAATCGATTTCAACAATTTGTCCTGATAAAAGCTATCTTGTTCGTTATAATTTCGAGGAATTTCCATCTCATTCATGATGAAGCTCAGTTTATTATTTTCAAATTTAAATTAAACAGAAGGGGTTTTGGGGTTTTGGGGTTTTGGGGTTTTGGGGTTTTGGGG